AACTCCCAAACATTAAACTCGCAAGCTAAAACTTTTCAAAAATGGCCAAAGTACCATTTGCGAAACTGTTTTAAGACAGTAAAAAAAAACAAATATTTATATGTAAATTTACTCAAAACACAAAAAATCTAAAATACTTCTCAGCAAAAATAAATAAATAAATAAATCAGATTAAAGCATGAGAAATTTCAAATTTTTGCAAAACCTAGTTTTGGTCCGGCTTCAGCCATCATGGGCCCGAGATAATGTGCCTGTTTGTTTTCCTTTTTGAAAACATTTTTCACGTTTTTCGAGGAGAGAAAAATGAAAACGGCATAAAAATGGTGTTTGGTTTAACAATGAACAAAAAATGAAAATAAAATCATTTTTGTATTTTTCCCAAAAACCACTGTCATTATGAAAACGAAGTAAACTCGTTTTCAATTTTCCATTTCCATTTTCTCCTCTACCCTTCACTTCTCTCACAAACGATCTCTCTCCTCTGAAAAACAACAACAATCAACAGCAAAGGCTAAAGTTTGTTGGATCTCCAACGGTGTCCAAGGAATTGGAAAAGCATCACAATGCCAAATCAACTCCCTCACCGGACCGATTGAAGAAACCTCCTGTGAAAATTCGGGCCTCGGACAGGCCTGCCGACTCAAAGTTCCACCACTAAGACTGACAATTTTAGTGATGACATGATAACATGACACGAAATTCGTACGGAGTTAAGGGGTTTTAATTTTCTTAAAAGGGGTTTAATTAGGTCAAAACAAATCGAACATGCCATGCGTGATTAGATAAGGGGAACTAGTCAACAAGAATTTAATCCACAGTAATCCGTTTAATAAACTTTTTCATAAACATGTTAACAAAAATATAACAATATTAATGCTATTAACAATAATGATACTGCTGCACTAAATTTTGTTGATGATAATAATATATTATTAATGACTGCTTCTGATGTTATATTGGTTGATGATAATTCTTTGCCAGAAGATCAGGATGTTATAAACAATAATTGCTGATTGTTTTTCCTTTTTTGATGATAATAAAGGATGTTATAAACAATTATTGCTGATTTTTTTTTTTTTTTTTTTTTTTTTTTTTTTTTTTTTTTAAAAAAAA